AGTAAAAGGGATAATTGCAGCAACAGTATTAAACCCTTTTTTAGTAGCAAACTTTACCCAAATTTTTCTTTTGTGTTACCCACAGTACCAAACATTTTAGAATGTTGCAGCAAAAGTCCAAATGAACTACTTCTATTAGTTTGACCATTAGTTGACGAATATAAATTTGAGAATAATTTAAACTAATTTTAAAATGTTAAAATGGTAACTTTACATTTTTTATAATAAAATAACTGAAACCAAATCATTAAAATCAAAAATCAAAAACCCACCCCACCCACTTTTTGGACCCGAAAACCAGTGCAACCACGCCAGCAATTACAACAAACTCTAGCTCAACCACGGCAACAATTACAACAAACTTTGGTATTCCGAGCCTAAAAAGGCAATTACACGAAAGCCCCCTTTTCTCACTCTTACTGGCTCATCTGGACCGATCACAACCAGGTGAAGACCAACTTGTTATTAACATGATTGCCAAAGAACACTGAGCTCGATGAAGAGAACATAGTAGTAAATCTCGTAGTATGTGTAAGATTGAGTTTTGTAGCAATAACGAGAGATGAAATGGTCACCATTTGTTAGAAAACTATCTTTAATTTGTAAAATTGATTTTAGGAAGTGAAATTCGTTCACTGGTTGGTGGTGAGTAGATGTTTAGTTGATTACGGCGAAGAAGATGGCAGTGGTGGTAGTGGAGGAGATGTCAGTGATGATGATGGTTTTGGGATGTGGATGAAGAAGATGAAGTTGGTTTTTGTTTTTAATTTTAATGATTTGATTTTAGTTATTTTATTATAAAAAAAAGTGTAAAGTTACAATTTTAACATTTTAAAATTAGTTAAAATTATTGTCAAATTCAAATATTTTGTCAACTAACATTCAAACTAACAGAAATCGTCAATTTGGACTTCAGCTGCGACATTTTGAAAGATTGGATATCGTGTGTGGCACAAATGAAAGGTTTGGACAAAGTTTGCTACTAAATGAAAGATTAGGTATTGCTGCTGCAATTATCCCTAAATAAAACAAAAGCAAGTCGTGTTGGATCGCTAAATTTGTCCCCTCTTTTTGACCGATGATATATTTAAAGTGTGTTTGAGCCACATTATTTTGGAAAAATGTATTTTAGAATCGTAGATTGATAGAGAATTTGTGGTTGAAAAAGAAGGAAAAATCATTGATGTGATGGAAAATATTATTTTATTGAAGAATGTGTGGTTGAAAATGAGTAGAAGAATGAGAATGAAAAAAATTATGTGTACCAAACAGGGCCTGAATTTGGTTTAGCAACGGTACGAAAACTCATTCTCATTCTTGGAAAAATGAGTAACAAACACAGTAATTATGTTTTTTTTTTTTTTTTTTTT